TGTTTGACACTTTATTGATATTTCATTTTCCTGCCAAGTGCACGTTGTATACCATACCAGGAAGCTCCTGACAAAACAGGAAGATGAGAGAGGTGACGAGTATGGCCTGCCAAACAGGAAAGGAAAGCTAAGCACATGTGCTGTCAGTGTAAAAGAGATTTGTGTATGGAACTTGCTTTGTAATGTGTTAAAACTGCCTTAAGTGTGATAATTGAAGCAAAGATGATTTCCATGGTAGTTTTGTTTGCATTTTCATTATAATTCACCTAGGAATTTATTTCTGCTCTTATTTATTAGACTTTGTAAGCAGGTAAAAAGTTGATGTTGAAAATTATGTTTATTCTACATATTCATTACATATTAAAAATTTAATATTTTATTTTTTTGATATCTTATTTCTGTATTAAGTACACATTGTTTAATATAATAAAACTAATGAAATTAAAATTAATAATTCATCAATAGAAATACTAAAAAGTATGGGTGCTATGCACCTCCATAATGCGCCTTTTGAAAAATTTACTGTGAAGGCCCTAGGGTATTTAAAAACAAAAACAAGCCAAGTGTGGTAGTGTGAATTTATAATCCCAGCACTTAGGAGGCTGAGGCAGGAGGATCATTGCAAGTTCAAAACCAGCCTGGGCTACAAAGTGAGCTCAAGCTCAGCTTTAACTGCATGGCAGAGACCCTGTCTCAAAAAGACAAAACAAAAACAAAGAAAAATAAAAACAAAAACAAAATCCCAGGTGTGGTAACATACACCTATAATTCCAGCATTCCATAAGTTGAGGCAGGCAGAGCACCACTGTTTCAAGGCCAACCTGAACTACATAACAAAAGCCTGTCTCAAAAAAAAAAAAAAAAAAAAAAAAGAAGAAACAAAGAAAAACAACAAAAAAATTTTTTTAAATCAGTATTCAGTTCTTACAATTTTATGACCATATAAATACTTCTAAAGCTGAATCTTGAGGTATTTTTCCTTTGCTGCACACCTTCCCATCTGCTTAGTTTTCTCTATAACATCTCCAAACTGTCCTATCTCTGCTCTTAATGTGTTAATAAATGAAATATTCTATGCATTTGAATTTTTTGTGTGTGATAGTGTCTTACTATGTAGTCCAGGTTGGCCTTGAACTCACTTTGCTCCTCCTGCCTCAGCCTCCCTAGTGCTGGGATTATAGGCATGCACCACCATTCCCAGCTAGGTATTTAATCTTGAAGTGGCCCACCTGGGAGTCCTGTATTGTGGTGTGTGGAAGTGATGTGCTCTGTCTTCAAGGGTGTCCCTACCAAATCCTGGCCATGCCTGTCACCTGGCACCTCTTGTTGAAGTCTGTTTCTTATGTAATAGGTCTTCTTTCCTTGATTTACTCCCTTATTTTTGATGGAATATATTGTTTGGGAAATATTTTTGTGTTCTATACATGTCTGAAAAGATATTTCAGAAATCAGAAATATTTCCCTCAGAAATCTCATGGCACTATGTCACTGTTTACCTTATAGTGTCCAGAACTGCAGTGGAGATGTCCCCTGCCCTGCTGACCTAATTTTATTTGGAGTTTGTGCCAACTTCCTGAGAGCAGAAGCATGAGTACTCATTGCCTCTATGTTCCTATAGGTTTGTTTTTTTAGCTCTATCAAAATCCTGAACTGATACTCAGGTCTAATTCTAAGCTCTGAGTAGTACTTGGGCTATTTGTTTTTTTGTTTGTTTGCTATTTTGGTTTTTGTTTTGAGACAGGATCTCATTATGCAGTCCTGGCTGGCCTTGAACACCCGGCCTACTACCAATTTAATGACTTGTGGCAACACAAATTTATCACAGTCAGAAGTCTGAAAATGGGTCCACCCAGCTCACAATCATTTTGTTGGCCGGGCCGCCTTCCTTTCTAGGAGCTGCAGAAGATGCATGTCCTTCCCCTTCCCGGTTTTGGGCCCAATTGCTTGGTGCGTGGTTTCCCCCCATCATTTTAAAGCCAGGAGCCTGGTGGGTGTGGTGGTGCCTGCCCATAATCCCAGAATTTGGGAGGCTGACGCAGGATCACCTCAAATTTGAGGTCAGCCTGGAGTCCACATGGAGTTTAAAGCCAGCCTGAACTGCATAGTGAGACCCTGTTCAGAAAAAAAAAAAAAAAAAAAAGCCAGGAGCCCTGCCTACATTGGTCCTTCTTTCACTTTTAAGAACCTCTGTGATTCATTGGCCCCACTTGGATTATCCAGGCTAATCTCCCTATTTTAAGGCCAGCTGCTTAGCAACTTTAGTTCTATCTGCGACCTTAATTCTCTGCATTTAGCGAGCTGCACATACTCATAGACTCTGAGGTTTCAGATGTGACCATCTTTAGGGGATCATTATTCACAGTCATCACATAGTAAATCTACTACAGTGCCTTTTCATGTAAAGTATTATGTTGCAAAGTTGTACCTGAACTGATTTAAACCACATCTTGTTCAAGGGTATTCACGCATTAGTTTGCTTTATGAATATTCATGGAGCACCTGCTATGTTCCATGGTAGGGCTACGTTAGTGAGCTTCCACTTAGGGTGTTTCTCTTTTGCATTGTTATAAACAGTATTTCCATCTTCAGCCCTGGGCATACATGTATTTTCTTTCTCACTTTGCTCCTGTTGATGACACTGATACCATCTGTGTTTAGTGGTCCATGTGCTTCTGTTAGACTGACTTCCTTCCGGGCCAGGGCTTTATTTATCCTAGCATCCCTGGCAGCCTGCATATGCTTAGCCTACAACAAAACAATAATTAGATGGGAGCCGGAATATGTGAGGTCAGATCTCACGAGTCCTTTGTCCTAACATAATTACACATTTATTCAGTGAAGAATTTGAGAGCTGTCGATATGTGATGATTGTATTATGCACTGATCATATAGTTTCTAAGTAGAGTATAATTCAGCAATATGCCAGACCCACTATGGTTCAGTGGGACCACCTAGCTCTTAGTGGAAACGGTTTCTTAGGGAATATCTAGTCTCTCTCATGATAAATAGTAATGTGTGGGGCCAACACTTTCTTTTTCTACCTTCATGGAGGGTCAGGAAAGAAAGGAGGGATGGCACATGACATATGCAAGCCCCACGCTCACTGCATGCAGCAGAACACCATGATAAGAACCAAATAATAAACTTTAATTTGAATACAATACAGTAGTATATAATAATTCTTCTGAGGTACAAAAATAATTGTATTTTTTCCCCATGTGTAAGTAACATATGCTACGGACCGCAAGCAGTACAGTGGTGCTCTGTACACATGACACGGCGTTCCTAAGCTGGGCCTTCCTACATCACACAGGAGGAAAGCGGCAGTGCACCTTGAGGTACTGTCGAGACACTCCAGAAGTTGTGATCCTTAACACGGTTGGGTGCTACTTCCCTTTATGCTGATCTTTGTGTCTCTGGCTCAACCCTATAGATTCAAAATTTCTTAAAAAATTAGTCTAAAACCGCTGTTTGGACTATGTGGGCATTTTCCCCCACAAGAGAGCAAAACGTCTGAGAGAATCTTGAGCATTAAATCCAATGAAGGCTCACTTAGAAGTAAATCACCATCAATGGAAAAGCTTTTCAAATTGAAGAAACTTGACGTTAACAGCAGTTCACTGGAAGACAGATGTAACTGCCAAAAGCTACTGAGGAGTTTCAGCCAGACTCTTCCACTACTGTGTTTCCAAATATGTTTAGCCAGAATGATTCAAGAAGTGTAGCAGGTTCTGCCCAGATCGGACCCTCCTCGTACCTTCAATGTTAGGAGCCAGTTTTACTGAAAATGTAGCCACTGCATACCGAGGAAATAGAAGCTTTGGCATATGAAAAATGACATAACTCTGTTTCCTAGAATTCAGCTACTCAGGCCAGTTTAATTTGATTTGTGCTCTGACCCGATTAGATCTGAGTCTCACAAAGCGTAGGGAAACTGGCCATCTTCCTGAGCTGAGAGAATTCCTGGCGACTGTCCAGAGGTAAAGGCTCCTCTCCTAGGCTGCTGCAATGCTTGCTGTGCTCCCTTCTTCTTCTTTTCTTTTTTCTTGGTACCGGGAATATGAACTCAGGACCTTGCACTTGCCTGGCAGGCGCCTGTGCCGCTGAGCTAGGTCCCGGCCCTCTCATCTCCTTTTGTACAACTTTTCCAGCCACAGTAAGATGCTGGGGAAAAGGGGCAAACAAATGCAGTGCTTATGAGACCCCTTCTAGGGCTGGGGGTATAGCTCACTGGCATAAG